GTCTTTTCCCTGCCATCGTTTCTTGCCTTTGCTTTCTGATAGTGTGCTGTTTCCAATTCCTGAAGAGCTGGACCTTTGTCAGCATCATCTGCTCTCAAACTCTCTTGCCCCTCCAATCCAAACTGCAGGCATCTGCTAGCAACAGCTGATGGACCACCTTCTATGTGGTCAGTGGGCGGGCATTGCACTGGACATTATATAAATACATGATCACCATCCCCAGGTAAGACTGGAAGGCTCAGAGACAGGACATGGCTTGTTGAAATCACACAGTAATGGACAGAATGGACACATTCACTCCTCACACACCCCAAGGACGAGAGCCTCCATCCTTCTCCGTTTGTCTATAGGAGAGAAGCCAAATTCCTCACTGGCAGGCGAGGTGCCATGCTATCTTCCCAACCTTATCTCCCACCAGGCTCCAGCTTGCCTACTCTGTCCCCGACAGGCATGTCTGTGCCTCCCCACTACCCCAACCCACGGGCTCACTCCCAGTGCCCCACCAGCTACCCATTGTTCCCATGACCCAGAATGTCATTTTTGCCTTTGTGCCTGTTCAAATCCTGTCTGATTACAGGACTTTGCTTGGTCTTCCTCCGTCAAATACTTTAGGCCTATACTAGTCTCTCTTCTCCCTTCATTCCTACGGCTCAAACCAGTTGTCACGGCTGTGTGCCATCTAGTCAACTCCCACTCATAGCAACCCCATATGACAAAGAACCACCCAATAAGAATTCCTAGTATGTAAGCTTTATGGGAGCAGATTGCCAGGTCTTTCTTCCATGGACCTACTGGTTAAGTTCGAACTGCTAAACTTTTGGTTAGTAGCTGAGCACTTAACCACTTTACCACTAGGGTTTAAGGTATTAATCATACACGGCTGGCATAGGGAGGTGAAGATTTTGACTCATATAGAACCTCCCTTCATATATGTGGTCTCAGGTACCACACAATGTATTGCATTGGGCAGATCTGTTGCAAAAGACCTCTTTCAAGTGTTTAAAGACAAAGATGTCACTTTGACATACCATCTAAGCTATGGTATTTTCAGTTGCCTCATAGATATGCAAAAGCAAGACAATGAAAAAGGAAGACGGAATAAATACTGATGTATTTGAATTGTGGTTTGGTGACTATCAGACATGGACTCCCAGAAGAACAAATAAATCTGCACTAGAAGTAGTAGAGCCAGAAAGCTCCTTGGAACGTGGAAGGGAGGATGGCAAGACTTCATTTCATACACTTTAGACATACCATCTGGAGGGATCAACTGCTAGAGAAAGACATCATACTTGATAAAGTAGAGAGAGAGAAAGAGGGAGAGCCTCAATGAGATGGACTAACACAGTGGTTGTAACCATGGACACAAACATAGCAGCGATCATGAAGATGGTGCAGGACTGGGGAACATTTTAAATGTTATATACAGATATTACGAGCTCTGGTAGCATAGTACCTAAGGCACTTGACTGCTAACCAGAAGGCTGGCGGTTCAAACCCACCAGCCACTCCTCGGAAGGAAGGTTGGGCATTCCTACTTCCGTAGTGATAACTGCCTCAGAAACCCAAGGAGGGGTCGCTAGGAGTCAGGGCTGACTCAATGGCAAATAACAACATATGGATATAGGGGGTCGCTAGGAGTTGGAGCCAATTCAACAGCAACTAACAAGAACAACGACTCTGGACAAAATGAAAAATCATTGGCGTTTATCATTGATGTCTTCTAATATAGCTTCCTCTCACTACAAGTTCTTCCAAGGTATAGAAAGTGGGTATGTATATATTCCCCCCCCGACTTGCTCCCTCCTTTTTTTTTTTTTTTTTTCAATTTTCAATAAGGAAGTAATAATAACAACAAACTTAGTACGATGTGCCAGATATTTTCTAAGCACTTCACAAGCATTAACTCACTTAGTCTTCCTGACAACCTTTTCAGGTAACTTTGATTATCTCTCCCATTTTACAGGCTAGAAAATTGTCACAAAGAGGTTAAATAACTTGCCTGAGGTCACACAGATGGGATTCAAAACCAGACACTTAATTACCATGCTATACTATCATACCAGTAAAACAGTGCATTGTTCTTTCTCTGACAGTGAAATAATGCCTGCTAAGTGCCTTTTAAAACTCATGTAATACAAAAAAGTAGGAGAAGACCACATAATCTTTTCACCCAGGGAGAATCTGATAACACACTTGAGCAGGTACAAACATACATTAGTTTCTATTTCAAGAATGGAACCACACTGTACATAATTTGTTTTCTCTTTTAGTTCAAAAATTTTAACAACTTACTGAGGTATAATTTACACACCGTAAGATTCAGTCATTTTAAGTGCAAATTCAGTAATTCTAGTAGATTTACATAGTTGTGCAACCATTTTTACACTCCACATTTGGAATAGTCCACCCTTTCCCCCCAAAATGACTTCTGTTTCCACTCACTCCCCAGTGCCACTCCAGCCCCAGGAAAACCTATCTATTTTCTGTCTCCATAGATTTGCCTACTCTGAACATTTTATGTACATGGGGTCATACAATATGTGGTCTTTGGAATCTGGCTTCTTTTAGTTAGCACAACATTTTCAAGGTTCATCCATGCGGCAGCACGTATCAGTAGAACTTCACTCCTTTTGATAGTTGAATAATATTCCAATGTATGGCTGTATCGCTTAGTTTATTCTTGGGGTCTTCCTACTTCCTTGGGCCTTCTCATATCTGTAGGCTTACATTCCTCTATTTCAGTTTTTAGTGGTGTGGTAAGATAAGGAACAGACATTCTCCCTATCATTTGGGATTTGCTGACTACTGCTTCATGCACCTATTATTTTATTCTTTAAAACCAAACTAGACTTTGGGAATGTCTCAGTGCCAAGTTTCTGTATTAAAATGTAAATATGGAAAAAGAAGAATAAATAGAAGATGAAAGCGATTGGCATGCTTTAGAGGAGGACGTAGAGATATTCCAGAGCAAAACAGTGGTTATCGTTTAACAGGATCCAGAAGAGGATGGATGGCCGCATCCTGGAAGAGCATCACTGCCCTGATGGGTAAGAAATGAGTTACTGTGTAAAGCTAGAAACCTCTTGAACTAATTGACCAGTTGCTGTGGAGTCAGCACTGACTCATGGTGACCCCATGTGTTGCAGAATAGAACCCTGCTCCACAGTGTTTTTCAAGGCTGTGATCACCAGGCCTTTCTTCTGAGGTGCTTTTGGGTGGGTTCAAACCACCAACCTTTTAGTTAGTACTCAAGTGCTTAGCTGTTTGCACCCTAAAGAGACTCCTACAAACTCCTTTAGGAAATAATTTTTCAGACAGAGAACACACATGGAGTAAATCTAGACTAAGGGAAAGGGCTTGGGAGAGGAGCCCAAGAGGATAAGAATGGAAAAGGCAGATTGGAGGATTTCCATTCAAACCTGCTGAAAGAGACCACCACCAACAACCATTTGATGAGAAGCTAAGTGGAGTGTCTGTGCTTCTTTGGAACTCTAACCCCTAGGGCTGAGACTCAGAATTTGGAGCCTTAATAATAACACTGGTATTAGTGAGAGTGGGGTAAGGGGTTAGGGACAACCCCAGCAGGACAATGACCACTGCCAGGTGAGAAAAGTGCCACTGAGCAGAGAGATAAGTAAAGAACAGAGAACGCTTACAGGCTGGTGGATAATGCAGGAAAACATCATTCCAAGTGCTTGAAGACCCAGCCTGCCAGGTCTTTATCATTCGTTTTTCATGTAGAAAACAAGACCACAGCTATTGTAGGGCCCCAGCTGCTGTGGGCATGGAATGTGCCAGAAGGTAAGAGTAGAGACCAAGTGAAAGGCTTTGCAGGAGGTGAGGGCTGGCCTTAGGGGACACGTGGGGGCGTAGGAAGACTTGATCAAGCAAGCCTTAGGGATGGACTTGCTGCGGAAGTGCAGGGCAGGAGACAAACCTAAGATGGGGGTGGGGGAGTTCTGGCTGGGAATCCTGCAAAAGACTGGAAGAAGGTTGAGGGTCTGTTGGTTTGTTTGGAAGTATGACTGCATACGGTAGAATGCACAGGTCTTAAGTGTAGAATGAGTTTAGATAAATGTCTACATCTGTGTACCTACCCCGCAATAGATTTTTTAAACGGTGAGTTTGACCTCTGCAAGGGTCTAAAGGAGCTACCTGAAAGGCAAGAAGCCCTAAGGACTGGAGGCAAGAAGCTGCCAGTAATTTTAGACCGAAAGTGTTCTGCAGCCAGGAGGTGGAAACCTAGTGAGCAAACGACCACCAGGCAGGAAGATATCGTGGGAGAGTAAAAAGGCTCACACTTGGACGTTTTTGGCGCGCTTGAATTTCCCACCCTGAGGCTCATATTTGCTGATGGAAGTGCAACGCCTTCTCCCTTCTTAGGTTCTCAGTCTCATACTAAAAAAAAACCCGTCGGAGCTGACTCGACCGGCCTCTGCCCCATCCAACGTGGAGAAGGCCTTCACTGAGGAGGGAGGGGAACTCAAGGACCCCACAGGGCGGTCTGCATCTCCTCGGAGCAACATGACCCGGGTTGCCTAGCTTCCTCCGTGCACAAGCTCTGGCAGCCAATCCGGACATCAGCGGAGGCAGCTCTGCACCCCTCAGCGCGCTTGCAGCTGCACTGCACCAGCGCCCGGGTGTTTGCCGCCCTGCAAGCCTGCACGCTGCGGGAGCACGGCAGCTGGAGCTGGGGGGAAGGGAGCTGATGGCCGCGCCCCTCGCGCCCTCTCCTGCCCTGGCTGTCCCGGGAACATTCTGAAAAGTATCCAAAAGTTCTGCGCTGCGCGCGCGCGCGCGCGCCAAAAAAGAAAAGAAAAAAAAAAAGGCACAACCCCCACCCCCACCCCCACCCCCTGGGCGTTGCGTGTCTCGACCTCACGAGTCGGGCTGCACCTCCGGCTGCTGCGCACACATCTTCCGCTTCTCCTCCTCGCAGTCTTGCCGTCGGTCGGGGTGGCCCTTGCAGCTGTCTTCGGACCAGAAAGGCGGCCACCATGCCCAACGACGACGCCTTCAACAAACCCTCGGCCCCGGCAGAGGCCCCGCACGCTCCCGGGCCTGCGCCGCAAGGCAAAGGCGGTTTCGGGAAGGCTTCCGGGCCGCTACTGGGGGCGGCGGGCGCGGGGGGCTGCGGCGGCGCGGGCTCTGGCGCGGCGGGCAAGAAGTCCCCGCGGCTGCCCAAGTGCGCACGCTGCAGAAACCACGGCTACGCGTCGCCGCTCAAGGGCCACAAGCGTTTCTGCATGTGGCGGGACTGCCAGTGCAAGAAGTGCAACCTGATCGCTGAAAGGCAGCGCGTGATGGCCGCGCAGGTGAGTGAGGGGCCGGACAGCCCCGGGTTCTAGGCGAAGTCCCTCGGAGCGGCGTGTGGGATCCCAGACAGCCGGGTCCAGCTTTGCACGCTGGGCGTGGTCCTCCAGCGGGATCCGACAACCATGTGCAGGCCCAGATGCTTAGTGAGGTCCCTTGGCGGGGCCCCACGGCAAGGTGCAGCCCAGGGCTCTAGGCGAGGTCCCCTGGCGGCCGCGTGGGGCCTCTAACGGTCCGATTCAGCCCTGGGCGCTGGGTGAAGTCTCAGGCAGGACCCCGACGGCGGAGGTACGCTAGGTCCTGCTCCCAGCAGCGATCCAGCCTCGCGCGAAGAGGGCCTGGCGTCTGGGATCTGCGCGCTGCCACAGCTGCGGAGATGGCGACCTTCCGGGTCTCCGGGGTCCCTGGCCCAGCCCTCAGAAGAGGTTCTGTCCACGAGCAGGTTCCCTGGATCTCCGGCCACGCCTGCGGAGCAGGGAGTTGAGGATTCGTTCGTCTTTTGGTCCCCGGCCCCTGGTCACGTGTGCCAGTAGAGTTGCGGGGTTTGCTCCGCTTGAGAATCTCGGGTTCCGCCGAACAGAGTTGCGGGGTTCACTCTTCTTGGGAGTCCTCGAGACCTCGGCCTTTGCCCGCGGAGCAGAGTTTAGGGGTTCTCCTTTTGGGGAAGGGGTCCCTGGGCTTCTGGATCCCGCCCCTTATGGAGAGCCGTGGGTTCACCCCACAGCGGGGTTCCCGAGCCCTCACAAAGCCGGGGAGTTAGCGCCTCTCGGGGTTCCTGGATCCCGCCCCTCACTGTCACACAACCGCGGGGTTCCCTTGTCTGGAGACTACCGGATCCGGCCCCCGCACAGAATCGTGGGGTTAACTTTTCCCAAGCTCTCGGATCCGGCCCTCACAGAGCCTCCCTGGATCCTCAGGCCCGGAAGCCCACCGCCGCGCTCCTGGTTTCGGGGCGAATCGGGACTCGTGGGGCGGCTCTTCCCCCCAGTCCCGAGGCCTTGTTGGTCCATTTTTCTGGAAAAGTCCACGTAGTGGGCGCGGCGTCGGTGCATTTTCCTTGTTCGCTTGGGGGTTGGCTGGTGCCTCAGCCATTTTGGGCTGGAAATTTTGTTAGCTTTTTAAAATTTTATTTTTCGCTGTCTAGGCATAAAATATATAATTGTGGATTATATTTTAAAGAGTTCACGAGAATTTTAAAGCATACGCGAGGGGACGGGGCGACCAGGCACGGGTTGGAAGGTTTTTTCCGTCTCTTTTGGTTAAAAATAAAGTTTCATTAGTGGATTAGTAATAAAGCAGTTTAACGGAAATAGCCCCATAGGTAATCCTATTGGGATTTTGAGAAGCGAATACATTCTTTCCAGCTAAAAATTGTTTCATCTTTTTAAACAGGTTATTTGAAATAGAAAGATACGAAAGAAGTATTTACTAAGGCTGTGCTGCTACTTTTCATTAAGGAAGGTGTAAATATCCTCCATTAGAAATGTTTTAGATAAGAACTCAGAAAACTGCACAAATGCTTAGCGTTAAAGACTTTTTTTTAATGTACATCAGAGTTGTAAAAGTATATTTTGAAATAGATTTATTTTGGATAGATTCATTTTGAAGACATAAAAATATTCTTTATAGGGTTTTAGCTTAATACTATAGTGGCACAAAAAATACACCGGGTGTAGCATTAAAAAGTATCAGGATGAGTTTACTCAAAAAAGTTTACAGACATTTAAATTCTATTTGTAGGTAGAAAAATACTCTTGGACATCTAGTCTTTGGCTTAAATATGTTCAGGGGTGGAAATTTCCTCAAAATTTAATAAAAATATTTATCAGAGTAGGGTTGCTGATTTTGAACAAGGTTCTGTGCTATTTTAAAAAGCAAAAGTAACGGGATTACATTAAATATGTGAAATTTCTGTCTTTTCCACATCTGAAGGCCTGTGTTATGGTGGATAAATTCTCAACAAAATATCAAAACAATTTTTGGTCTTTCTAAAATAGTTAGCTAGTAATCTTAGATCTGATTCTGAAGTAGTTGCCTTTTGAATCAGTTCTCCCCCTTCTTAATTTAAGTAACATTTCTTAAAAACCTTGGAGAGGAGGTCTGTATAAATATCCTTGGCATATACCATATATAATGAATAGCCTGTGCATTTTTTGTATGAATGAAATTTGTGAAAATCAGGGTATAATTTATGTATTGAGATACTTGGGTTTTAAGTTAATTTATTATTATTTCTACTCAGACGCTTACTATTCTATCCATAAGCTTCTTGGTTAATCATAGAAACCAAGACTTAAGTTTAATTACCTTAGATAATTGATTATTTAAGATTAGTTTTTGTAAGTTGAAAAGTACTTTTATTAGGAGTAAACTTTCACATTAATCAGCTTTCTAAATTTAAACCACAGATTTCTTAAAACAATATATAAGTTGTGGTTGTGCATCTAATTCACCTTTTTATTTTATTGTGGTAAACATATATGTAATAAAATTTTGTCATTTCAGCTCTCTTCACATGTACAATTCAGTGACATTATGTTTACCCTGCTTTTCAACCATCATCATTATCTGCTCCCACATTTTTCCATCCCCTATAGTAGAAGTTCATTGTCCTCTAAGCAGTAGGTTTAACTTTTCCCCAGCTGTCCACCAAGCCATGGTCACCAGTTACAAACTTTGGTCTCTGTGTTGTTGTTGTTGTTGTTGTTATTTGCCGTGGAGTCGGCCCCGACTCATAGCGACCCCTCCTTGGGTTTCCGAAGCAGTATCACTACGGAAGTAGGATTGCCCAACCTTCCTTCTGAGGAGTGGCTGGTGGGTTTGAACAGCCAGACTTCTGGTTAGCAGTCAAGTGCCTTAGACACTGTGCTACCAGAGCTCCTATTTAGATATCTCATGTAAGTGAGATCATACAGTATTTGTCTTTTTGTGGTTGACTTACGTCATTCAGAATGTTTTCACAGTTCATCCATGTTGTAGCATGTATCAGGACTTCAGTTCACTTTATGGCTGAGTAATATTCCATTACATGTATGAACCACATTTCATTTATCCATTCATGTGTTGATGGCCATTTAGATTGTTTCCACTTTTTGGCTATTTTGTAGTGCTGCAGTGAACATAGGTGTACAGGTATGTTTAAGTCCCTACTTTCAGTTCTTTTGGGTATCTGCCTAGGAGTGGAATTGCTGTAGTTCTGTGTTTATCATTTTGAAGAACTACCAAACTTTTCCATGAGGGCTGTACTATTTTAGAGTCCCACCAGCTAAATGTTGGATGAGTTTGAATAGGATCCCAGTTTCTTCACATCCTCACAATACCTTTTCTGTTGTTTAAATCAAAGCCATTTCAGTGTGAAGTGATTTACCATTTTGATGTCAACTTTTGACTTGTATTTGGGCATCTGATACACAGATACTTGCTTTTCTTGTTTCATTATTGCCAATAGTCAGTTTCAACAAGTCTTTTTTTTTTGATTACAAGTAGTAAGCATTTTTTCCCTCATAAACCATTTTCCCCAAGCTTTAACAATATTATGTAAGAGGAGAGAAAATGAAGAGGTATTACCAGTTTCTTAGGGATGTTACCACCATTCTAGTTCCAGTTTTGGCCTCATCTTGCCTCCTGCCTAGAATATCACACACCCAGCCCCCTGTCTTGGGTCTTTGTGCATTTTCCTGTTCTAGGTATTTTATGTAAGAGAGATCATACAATATTTGTCTGCTAATATTTGTCCGCTTGTGGCTAATTTCACTCAATATAGTGATTTTTTTCAATATATTTTCACCGTAATTATATCAGTAACACCACATTTGCCATTCCAGCAGCCTTCATACATACAGTTCAGTGACATTAAATATATTCATTGTGTTGTTCAGCCACCACCATTAACTGTTCTTGAATCTTTTCATCACCCTTCATAGAAGTTCACTGTCCCCTAAGCATTGGGTCTTCTTTCCCCCTGCGTCCCTGCCTGCCCCCATGTGTTAGCATGTATCAAGATTTCATTTCTCCATATGGCTGAGTAATATTCCATTGTATGGGCGGACCACTTTTCTTGTATCCATTCACCTGCTGAACATTGAGTTGTTTCCACCTTTTGGCTGTGGTGAATCATGCTGCACGGACACCAGTGTACACATATCTGTTGGCGTCTCTGCTTTCAGTTCTTCTAGTTCACAAACATCATTTGAGCACCTACTGTATGCTATGCATCTGGTCCTAAATCCTTTCTCAGCTTGGACTACACATCACAGTGACGTGGTAGCTTTAAAAAAGTTTAGAAACTGCCAACTCGCCCCTGGAGCTTATGAATCGGGGGGAGTGCTGTGGTCTTGGCAAGCTGCACAAGGGACTCTGAGGTGCTGAGGGTGACCCCTGCCTTGTGCTTTCAGGTGGCCTTGAGGAGGCAGCAGGCCCAGGAGGAGGAGCTGGGGATCAGCCACCCCATCCCGCTGCCTAGCGCTGCCGAGCTGCTGGTCAAGAGGGAGAACGGCGGCGGCAACCCGTGCTTGATGACCGAGAGCAGTGGCTCCTCACAGCCGCCGGTGCCACCCAGCACCCCCACCACTGCAGCCTCAGGTGAACTGGGAGCCAGGTTCCCATGGCTGGGCCTAGGGGAAGGACCAGGGCTGTGTCTGCAAAACCAGTTTGGGGCCTGTCTGAGGCACTTAGGGCGTTTAGAGCCTGGAAGCTTTCTTTTCTTGGTGGTACAGGACTGGGCAGCATTTTATTCTGTTGTGCATGTGGAAATGGTCCCCCATACACATGTGAAAACGGAGACATAGAAGTTTAAGGGACTGGCCAAGGTTACAGAACTAGTGTCTGAATCCATTCATCTGCCTACAAAGTGCCCTGTGTTTACTGCATTGGGTCTCCAAATTACGTCGCCAAATAATAGTGCTCTTGAGTGGCGCTCTCCACTGTGGACACCATTAGCCACACTGACTATCTAAATTTATATTAATTACCCAAACCAAATCTGTTGCTGTTGAGTGGATTCCAACTCATAGCAACCCTGTGGGACAGAGTAGAACTGCCCCATTGGGTTTCCAAGCTGTAAATCTTAATGAAGCGGACTGCCTTACCTTTCTGTTGAGGTGCAGCTATTGGGTTTGAATTGCTGACCTTCTGATTAGCTACTGAACATTTAACCACTGCACCACCAAAGCGCCTCACATTAGTTACAGTGAAATGAAATTAAAATACTTAGTTTCTCCCTTGGCACTAGCTACCTTTCAAGCCCTCAGTAGCTGCTTATGGCTCCAAAAACAAAACCAAGCTCACTGCTGTTGGGTCGGTTCCGATTCATAGCAGCCCCTCCTTGGGTTTCTGAGGCATTATCTCTATGGAAGTAGATTGCCCAATTTTCCTTCCAAAGAGTGGCTACTGAGTTTGAACTGCCAGCATTCTGGTTAGCAGTCAGATGTCTTAGGCACTACACCACCAGAGCTCCCCAGCTTACAGCTAGAGAATGCCATTGGACAGTTCAGATAGAAAACATATACCCTGTCTCTCAGAAACTTACACTGGATGACATTGAATGCTGAGAAGTCCACCAGAGAACTGTGGCTTCTGTTGTTTCTGGCAGTTCAGTGTACTGAGGGTCACAGGATGTCTTTAATCTCTGCTAACCAACCAGCCCACCAATGCTAACAAGTCAACTCCGACTCTTGGTGACCACACCTGTGTTCCATAGGGCTTTCAGTGGCTGATTTTTCGGAAGTAGCACCCCAGGCCTTTCTTCCAAGGCACCTTTGGGTGACTTGAACCTTCAGCCTTTCAGTTATTGATGAATGTGTTAGCTGCTTACACTAGCCAGGGACTCTGCTAAGAATCCATGAAGTATACCCTGGCATGTGATGCCCTCTAACTAAGCTCTCATGAGTTATCAGGTTTGCTGGGCTTAATCAACAGGCAAAAAGTTGTTTGACTAGCTGTTAACTAGCTGTGCAACTTTGGACTAATCCCTTAAAGTCTCTGGGCCTTGGGTTTCTTCTTTGAAAACACAAACAAGGGGGTCTCTGAAGGCTCTTGAAGGCTCAGTGAATCTTGGCCATTATGAAGAAGGAGAAGGTAAGTAGGCACCAAAGAAAGCAGGCGACAGGCAGGACCCTGGCCCCTGCATTACAGGTAGGCTGTGTCTGTCTCTGTGTGTTATTAGAGCTATAGATTCTGTAATTAACAAACAAACAAAAAAAGATAATCTCTCCCCTCACCTCAGAGTTGTGCTCTTTACACTTTGGGATTTTAAGATGTGTTTAAAGTTTAATGACCAAATAATACTTGGTCGGGGTTGATCTGGTGGATCTTAGTTGTAGGGCAGAGTCAAGAACTGGGGGTGTCAGAGGAGTGAAGGGGGTTCCCAGTGGTAGGTTTACACAGGGGCGTCACCAATTTGAATTTTATTTCATTGGTGTTGAGAATATACAAAGCAGAACTACGCCAATTCAGTAATTCTCCATGTACAACTCAGTAACATGGGTTACATTCTTTGAGTTTGGCAACCATTCTCACCCTCCTTTTCTGAGTTGTTCTTCCCTCATTAACATAAATTCACTGCCCACCGACTGTAAAATGATACAACCATTGTGAAAAGCAGTATGGCGATTCCTTAAAAAATTGGAATTAGAAATACCATTTGACCCAGCCATTCCATTACTAGGTATATACCCTAAAGAAGTGAGAGCCATGACAAGAACAGACATAGGCACACCCATGTTCATCTCAGCACTATTTGTAATAGCCAAAATATGGAAACAACTGACGTGCCCATCAACAGAAGAGTGGATAACCAAACTATGCTACATACACACAATGGAATACTATGCAACCTTAAAGAAAAACCTAGAATCTGCAAAACACCGCATAATGTGGATGAACTTGGAGGACATTATGCTGAGTGAAATAAGTCAGTTACAGAAGGACAAATATTGTATTAGTCTGTTATTGTAAAAAGTCAAGGAAAGGTTTATCTATGGAAGGAAATTTTTTTTGTTGGTTACCGGGGTGGAAGGGGAGGGAAGAGAACACTGTTAGATAGGAAGAGACAAGTATTGATTTGGGTGAAGAGAAGGACAATGTACCAAATGTGAGTGATCAACATCGTGGCATTGAGGAAGAGGGGACATAGAAAGGTACATGGGAGGTACAGACAACAAAGTTGAACCCTTTTGCACATACAGTACTGCACTGTCAGTGAAGGCAAATATGGGTATATGGGTGGATAGATGGGTGGACAGGCTGAACTATTAGGTATGTCTATGAAGCAGGGAGTGTACTCAAGACCATGTATAGGATTGGCAGACAATGGTCCTGTAAGTGTAATTGTATGATCTGTAAGAATTCCTAGGTGTATAGTAAAGCTGACAAGGGACAAGGTTGTAGTTACTTCTTGGTTATAGCCAGCTACCCAGAGGGACCGAGTAGTTAAACCTGTGGGCTCAGGATCATAGTCGCAGGGACATCAAGCTCAACTGGCATAATACACTATGCAAAACACTGTTCTACCTCCTACTTTGGCGAGTAGTGACTGGGATCTTAAAAGCTGGCAAGTAGCCATCGATGCAATGATGGGTCTCTCCTCGTCCAGAGCAAAGAAGAAAACCAAAGATT